CAATTCTACGAACCCCGTACGAACGTGAAGTAAAAGAACAACGTAACAACTGGTGTCAGAAGAATAGGAAAAACGTAACAATATTTAACTTTTAAGGATTATGTTTATTTATTTAACAATTAAATTTTGAGTTAAACTTCCTTTCCTGTCCCTTCTGAACTTCAATTTACAACCTTTCGGCAAGAATGTAGTTTAAGAATCACGTTTGAATGCAAATGAGGAAGAGTGGTATATAACCGCGAAGTTCTGCTAAGTTAGAGAGAACCAGAGATTCTGGCTAGCACGAGTCCCCTTTTTAGGCTACTCTCTCTTAAGCTATTATTACGCTCGGCCGTACGTTAGGCCCTTAATAGCTTCGCAGTCAATTAGCGTTAAGGGGCCAACTCCGTTAGAATCTTGATAGCTTCGGCTATATCTTTTTAGTTAAGATTAGTTTGGTTTAGTTCTTAGTTTTCTAAGTTCAAGCCCGAGTGTCGGCTTTATTGTACAACTCCAAGACGGAGTTCTGTTAAATCTTATTTCAATAATAAAGGGTTATTTCCCCCTTCTCACTTGTTGTTTTCTACCTCACGAACTTAAGCGTTTATTCGCTTGCTTGTTGTTAAGATTCTTCACATTCAACTGTAACTTAGAATTACATAGTACAGAATCGTCATAAATTGTTATTATAACTATTAATTTTCAGATATTAAACCAACATATCATAATTTTAGTTGAAAAAATGTATGATGAAAATTAATAAAACTATAAATTCACGACTATTTAAATAAGACTTGCAGATTACAAAAGTATGAATTTAAAAAACTGAAATAATATCAGTAATAAAAAGATGAAATAAGTAAATGAAAAAATAAATAAGCTAATTAACATCATCTCAAATTTTCAGTTTCAGAAATTCTACTTTTTTTTTTTTTTTTTTTTTTTTTTTTTTTTTTTTGAGGAAAGGGGTTATTGGCAATAAACACGCTAGTTTATTGACAAATTTACTCATAAAATGGCAAAAACTTGTTTATAATTCATATCAAAACATTTTTATTTATTAATTTCAATCTCTAATGCCTTTTTATCCCAAAGGGGCTATTAATCTCGAAACGACATTTTGTGAGAAATCACCAATAGCGTTGAATCACTTTTCAAATAGTTGCCACCAAATATTATTGCCCTGTGTTATATTTAAAGAAATTAAATAGTGAACAATCTGCATGAATGTATGTATGTGCCTCGCACCGTGAAAACAACTGTACCTACAGCCATCAAATTTTGAATAATAACGTAGTCCTCCACTAGAATATGGGCATCTGGAAGTCCTAATTTTGAATTTGTTTTAATATCTATTTCAAATTTTATAACACATTAACGAATTTGTGATTAACTAAATGATATTAAAGGAATAATTAGCTACATTGTACGCAATACAACACTTTTATCTCCAGCCCGCGAGACTGTCTATCGAAAATTCTAAACATAGCGTGTTTTTAAACACTTTTAGTCCAAAGTGGTGTTAGCCGAAATGCTCTCGAAGCGTGTATGTGTGTGTAAATGAAAAAAAAAACTCTTTGAGCTAATATAAAATCTGAAATATTTTGTGATTACCTTTATTTTTTTATTTTATTCAGGGATTTAACTTAGAGTAAATCTTGACTACCATGATCCTGTGAAAGGACGTATTTATTTAAATGTTATCTTTATTTTTTTTTTTTTTTTTTTATTTTATTCAGGAATTTAGCTTAAAGTAAATCTGGATTACCATGATCCTGTGAAAGGGCGTATTTATTTAAATGTTATCTTTCGGACAGTTATTTGTCCAATTCTCATTTAGCGAATGCAAAATAGTCTATTGTAATTTTTTCCTCACAAAAAGTTTATTTACTTGTAAAGAATAAAAATTTAAACAAAAAAATCTGATGTAAACACTGGATGACCTCCTCGTATGCCCTATTAAATATTCTTTTTAGAACAATAGTAAACTGATATTTACTGTTAGACATTTATTATTAAAATAAATACATATATAAACTGTTATTATGTAGTCGCTAGATTTCGTTACTTGCCGAAAATATTATTTTTTAATTTGACACTGTCAAACATGAATATTTTCGTCATTTAAAACTTTTCTGTAATTGAAAGTACCAATGACTATGACCAACGGACACCCTGTTTTTATGCATATTTATGTACATGGAGAGAGAAACTATTTCACGTCGCTGTAGTCGCATTCGAGCATGGAGTGTAAATATTGTATATAATTTTTCAATTTTCTATTTTAATTCTCTTTTTAGTATTTATTTACTTTATTTTGAGCTGCTTAAAGAGTCATGCGGAACGAAACGGGATTCAGTTCTCTAGGAATATTTGTATTTTACTATTTGAGATTATTATTCTTTAAGAAATCGTTCTGGAGAAGGAAAATATGACTATTCTAAAATGTATTTCATAATTTTGATACGATTTATAAGTTCACATTAAATAAATAACTTTTTTTTTCAAAATAGTATGGGATATATATATTAAAATAGTATATGTAATTAATATATATATACGTCTGGTACTGCAAACTGCAATAAAAAGCAAGGTGCACAACTAGATGTTATAGCAGTCCTATATACAAACAATGTCCTACGGCAAATCATTTTTCAGTTATGCAAGATACACACATACATACGTACAGGCGTCATGAAAAAATCCTTTTTGAATCCATTTTAAATCTGTTTTACAATCTGTTTTGAGAAAAAGAATTCTTTGCTTTGTCCGGACGCAAAAAAAAATCGTTCAAATGGATTCGGGAACTGTCGAAAATGGTATTTTCATTGAAATATGATACCCGAAATTTTTCGCAATAACAATACTACCTTTAATACATTGAGACGAACAATAAAAAAGCAAATTTAGAAAAATAAACTAGGTGCATGTTATTGGATTTATTGATTTTTTAAGCAAGCGAAATTTCGGTCAAACAAACCTACATTTAAGAGAGCTTTACAATTTGATTATAACGATGTGATGATAACATTTTATTAATATTTCAGTATAATCATATATCTTCTTAATGTTATGATATCATGGTTATAAATCTAATGTACTTATTAAAAATAAGAGTTTGCTGAAGGTTTTAGAAAATGAGTGATTAATAAAATGGTAAAACTAGTTTACTAGTACATCTTTTATTCTGATTTCTTGTTTCCACGTCCCATAAATCAGTGTTTTTAATACTATGTATCTTTCTAAGTAATATAGTATCTTTTAAAGTCATTTTTCTTTTTTTTTCCTCCATAATATTTGGAATTTGCACTTTTAATTCAAATCTTAAGTTTCTACAAAATTTATAAATTTTAACTAGTAATAGATAGTGATCAAATATGAGTGATATAAATAACGTCTCACATACGTTTGAGAATAATTTAAGGCATAATTCAAGAATTAAAATTGAATAAATTTCTACCTAACGATTGGAGTTACAGCAATAATTAAGATTAAAACGCAGATCGATTACTAAATTAAAAAGTATTTCATGTTTTTCAAAATTTTCTAACTTATTTTTGTATTGATAATTTAGATATAAGAAAAAGTTAAATAAAAAAGAAACATACTAGTGTAAAACTTCAAATTAAACAAAAAGCAGCCTATTTTAGAAATATATTTAGAATAAAACTCTACTAATTTAAGGCAATCAGGCACAGGTCCTTTTTCTTCGGTAGAAATTTACCATTCTCCCTTCCCTCCTGAAGAAGACGGATCTATATCTGATTACCCTCAAAATCGATAAAATTTTATTCACGGCAAACTAAGGTAAACTAAGTACACGGCAAACTAAGGTTGCTTTTTACTAATTTTAAACAAAAAGCAAATTTTAAAATTAGATCATCATAGATGAATCTTAGATTATATATTCTTAATAATTATCTTAGATCGGATCATCTTTGATGAATCTTAGATTAGATCATCATAATAATCATCTTAGATTATTTTTGATCATCTTAGATGAGTTAATAAATTGGGGGAGGTTGAAGGCTGTATCTATTTCGATAGAATCTAGCAAAATAGGGATAAAGATTCATTTTAAAGAAGTAAAATTTTTCGAAATTCTTTTCTCTGAACTGATAAATGTCTAAAACTTAACTCGGTTATTTTGCAACAGAGGTTCCAAACGGAGTAGATATTGACCTCCTGAGATTCGATGAAATTTTAAAGGGTATCGATGATTTTCAAGGGGTCGATAGAGAAATATGCACCGACAATTAATCGGAATAATCAAGATCTCATTGATTACAAAAATATTTTAATAAAAATCGATAATTTACTGTTTATTGATCTAAGCATACAGTAAGGAAGAAATCACATAAAATAAATATGATGGAAAAATACAGAAAAATTATTTAGTACATTTTAAAATCAATAATAGTTTTCTAATAATAGTAATAATAATAATTCTTAAACACAAACATGAAATCCCCATTCAGGAATTTCAGCCGTTTGTTAAATACAAACAAAAATTTATTTAAGAAATTTTGACTATTTTTTAAATACAAGCAAGAAATTTCAGTTGTATGTTAAATACAAACAAGGAAGTTTTATTATTTTAAGAACGAGGTGAAGGGATTTAAAAATAAACAAAATAAATAACTAAAAACAAATTTGTTACTCTTTAACAATTTCATTAAATTTTCTAGAGGAAAAGTACTGGAGTAAAACAACGCTTATAAAACTTCATATTTTAAAAATCAATGCAACCGGCATATTTAATTTTCAACTAATTCTTTTATGTAAAAACCAAATTCAAATAATGAAATTTTGGGGATCAAATACGAAATAAAATGCATTTTATATTTTTATTTAGAAATAGAAAATATGTTTCACAAACATTCAGCAATGCGTCTCTAAACATCACGCTAAATTCCCAAATAACGGTTTACTTATTTACTAATTAGATAAAGAGATATTTTAATTAACGATACATCACAAGCTCATCTACTTTAGAGGACTAAAATGATATGGTGACTTACCTAATTTTTATTATCCAGAGGTAGAAATCCTTTTAAATCTACAAGTACAGCAAGTGGATGTTAACTCTCTGCTGGTAACCGCGATCAAAGTATAACGATAGTGAAAGATGAGTTTTGTGGTTATAGAAAACGAGTGAGAAAGTTATAAACAAAATATAGCGCCCAAAGGCATTTCAGCTTTCCTGCGAAACCGGAAGAAAAGGGGGATGAGCCAGGCCTAGTATGACGTCGAATCTGACGCGTTGGGCTTTTCGCAAGGTCTATGTCGAAAATGTTGATCCATATTAAAAAAAAAATACGAAAAGACTATACAAAAAAGGAGCATAAAAAAAGAGGTTTTTCAGTTTTCGAAGCAGGTATTTGTCAATGACGCCATGTAAAGAGTAAATTCATTAAATGAAAAGCTTAACATCATTCAATCGAAAAGAAAGAAAGCTGCATTTGAAAGGGATAATAGGTACTATTTGGAATAATTAATTAATTTCGTTTTCATATTCATTTGCTATGTTATTTGAGCAAGAGAACTGCTATTATTCTTTACTTCATTTCATTTAATTGTTATGAAAATATTATTGCACTTAATAATTAAAGTTATCGTAATTTTTTCTGTGGTTTATCAATTTCCTTCATTCTTAATTTTCCAAGCCTTTAATGTTTTTAACTGTGTTTATTTATACAATAATAAAAACTTTTGTAAATGCAATAAAATTGAACATTTAGAATTATATTTGGCAGGTACTTCATAGGAATTTTTGTTGTTGTTATTTTTATTCTCAGAAGCTTCACATGGGCAAACACAAACTGACATTATTTAATTTTTAACATTTTTCAATTTATATAACTCGATGACGTAGTTCTGAATAAATGCTACTTTATTGTTAATAAATCACAGGTATAGAGGAGGTAGAAAACTGATGGCACTAGGTCTCGATAACTTACTGTGCAAAGCGTTAAGGCAAATAGTTTTGAATTATATATATATTCTACTATAATTAATTAGGAGATAATATATTTATTATTATTATTAACTTACTTTGCAGCAATTGCGCAAGTAGAAGAATAACTCGATTTCACACTAAGTGAATTTAAGATCATACAACATTTGATATATATATATATATATATATATATATATATAATTTGTATATATATATATTTGTATATATATATATATATATATATATATAATTTGTATATATATATATTTATATATATATATATATGTAAATAAACTGAAGAAAATGTTCTGAACCAATATCCAAAAACGGGCTGCAAGCTGCAATAACTGGCGTCAATATTATATTAAATCGAATGTTGAAACTCATTTAATTTGAAATTGAGAGTTAGTTAAATAATAAATTATTCTTCAAAAGTAACAAACCATTCTAATAAAATAAAAAAAACAGTGTCTAGTTTTGAAATTCAGTAAATGCACAGTTGCAAAAAATTACTTATTTCCTTTAAGCCGTTAATAATATAATTATTGCTATCCCATTTATTTCCTATTTACCTATTTTATCATATTAAAGTTTTCTAAGACTGTAATTTTTTTATTCCATCTGGGAAAATCACACGTGACTCCATATATTTTCGCGCGTGAGTAGACTTAATGTTATATAAATGTGATCAGTATTAACTTTGTTAGCCTGGTAATACCTTCTATGTTTCTGGTTTTTAATTCCTCAGCAGTAAGTGTGGAACAGAAATAAGATAATTTATGCAATCTCACAAGGGGAAAAAGTACATACTAGATATACTAGATTTAAATGGAACTATAGTAGATGTCACTTAATGTGATCGCGATTAATATTATCATTAGGATATTGTTATCGAATTGCCGAAGTCACGCCCCTTTTGTATAAGAAAGCATGGTAAATACGTCGCTTATTGTGATAAAAATTAGATTGCTATGATAACATTATTATGGAATAAATTGTGTTATTCCATAATATTACGGAATAAATTGTTTCAACTGTCGTCAAATGACAAAATAAAATTTTTCAAAATTTTTTTCTGCTTTTTCTTTTTACCTTAAAAAAAACCACGAGAACTCACCCTCAGGTTTCTTTTCTTGCCCAAATTTTACACTGGCATATTCTTTCAACGATGGATGCCGTTTAAATATCAAGATTAGAGGTTCAGCATCTGTCAAATAATTTCCAAAAATGTTATGAAACATTTATAAATAAACTTTTGCATTAAAGACATCATGAACAGTTCATAAACACATTTTTGGCTTTTCCTAATATATGCGAATAACTACTATATATATGTTTCTAATTATATTTATACTACATTAGTTAAATTCTATTCTATTTTAAAGGGCGTTTTTCTCTCATTGTCTAATGTTATCTTTTGGTTATTGTTATCAAAACAGTCGTGAAAAATGTGATCATAATTAAGTGGAGCCTAGCGTACTTTACTTCATGTGCATCAGCTCACCGATCATATAATTTTGTCCCGTCTATCATAATATAAAAAGTTGACAAATTTTAATTTCAAATAATATTGTATAGTTTTGATATCTTGATATTTATTATCAGTTTTTAGAAACTATTAGAAATGTCTCCACCATTTGTGAACATCTTTTAACATAACTAAATTAATTATGCATGAATTTTGAAGTAGTAGCATTAGGAACAGGTAGTGAAGGGGGGGAACCTGTGTCAAAATTCTCATAGTTTTTAAATGTTTAACCTTAAATATCTGTAGCTATTTCGCCACCATATTGTATGAATTTAAATATATGCATTTATGTCATATATATATATAAGGAATTTCAGGAATCAACTCTATTAATATTCATTTTTCTTTGACCAGACATAAATCTTTTATCTTTATATTCAAGATATTTCCTATATTATGGGATAAAATAATTAGCTTTAATATTGTCCTGCAAATATGTAAATGACCTGTTTTTAATCTTGCTTCTATTAAGAAACAAAGTACCCCCTGACCCTTCATGAAAATCGGTTGACTCCTGAAGTTATCTCACCGTGCAACGCCATAAAAACGTCTTACACATTTGTCCAGAAAGCAAGTAATAACCGAAATACTAGTTTAGATATTAGAGGCAGGCCCTTCTCTTGATACCGCTATAAAACATCGTAGGATGCATGCCCTCAAAAGAAGTTCATAGTCTTTTTTCTGAAACTTACTGTAGGTAAGCTATTTTGAATTTTAAAAGACATGGCAACTGTCAGTCCTCCCCTTACTCTCTCAGTTAGTATGCCTGCACATGTAATTGTTAATTGTTAATTGTAGCTTGTTAACTGAAAATAAAATTCACTTGTTAATTGAAAAATATTTAAACAATAGTCAGTTTCTATTTACGTAAAAAAGCTCCAATAATAATGTTACGGTTTTGTATCTATTTAGCTACTTTTAGTAGAATTTGTAATTAAAATTGTCTTATGTTCACGTGCAAAGCAGCATGAGGCTTAATTGAAGAGAAAGCTAAAGCGAAAAAATTAAAATACATGAGCAAGCGCATTTAACATTTTAATAAATAAATATCTCGTAATTGTACTCTTTTGCTATCCCGAAAAATCGAGAAAACACCAGAATATTCTCGTGCAAGATTAAAAAGCTTATAAAAGCTGGAGGGAAACATCTCAATTGAGTTGTTTAGAAAACTGTTGTTGTTTACTGTAACGAATTCGCGGCGAGATCGGATTAGATTTCTCTACATTTGTCTGTGTTTTTTTAATTGAGTTCTATTAAACGTTTTAGTAGTTTAATATATAACTACTGCGAGATATTGCGATATTGTACAAATATCTCTGAGGAAATTTCAGCATTTGGTTTTATTTATTGTGATAAGAATAAATTTTATTCATTTTTCATCGGACTTGTGCATTCAGTTTATTACGAAACCGTACGCATGCAGCAGTATATTCTTTGATCGATAAAAGTTTTACGTTTCTTTTTTTTTTTTAATATATTCAAAAGGAACATGTAGAATTTTATGTTAATTATACTGTTATTATGATCTGAACTTTACTTTAACTTCTTCTCTCCGTAATTCTCATCAAATTCAAATTAGTTAGTTTGTACTTAATCCGAGGGCTTGGATGTTTAGAGTAAGAGCTTTTGGCAATCTCGCGTTGCAGTTTGGTATGACTGCCAGCTTCGTCATTAGTCATCTTGAGTCAGCTTATATAGTCTACTTTTGTATATAGTCTCAGACTAAGCTTCCTACTTTTGAATTTAACTTTATCTCATGTTTATTTAAATACCCATAAGTAGCAGAGCGTCTTGTGAGTATTTAAATTAACATCTCATTTACACTTAGCATTGCTTCAGACGAAAGCGACAATTCACTAGCAGTCGGCTGGGATCTGCCGGTTTTAACACAAGCATCTAAGGCACATCAGAACCCTACCAAAGAAATTACGTACTTTGGTAGTCTCTTACGTCATCTGTGTCTATTAGCCATTTTGTTTTATCAGAGACGCTTTAGTATTTTCTATGATGAGTGATATCATCAGACTACAGAAACTTGTATAATTATAATCCATCAGACTAAATAAACTTGTGTCATTATGATTCTTTCTGAAAACCAAAAGCTGTTAACTCTGCATCAGTATGAAACACTATACAGTAAGACCCCGCTTAACGCTGTTTCGTTTAGCGCTGTTTCGGTTTAGCGCTCTTTTATTTCAACCCGGGGATTCCACGAAATCGCTCGCAGCATGCGGGGATTCCCCGAAATATTATGCAGCGATAGGTTTCAAATACATATCCGAAAGAGTGTACTTGTATTTCTTGTTTGGTGCGGTATTGTACAGACATATTTTGAAGGGGTAAATGTGGAAGATGTCGAAGAAATAATTCAAGAAGCAGCGGCTAGTCTTTCTAATGATGAGCTCAAGGAATTAACTGAACAAGAAGAAAACAAAAATGTTGACAGCAGTGATTCAGAAGAAGAGCAAAAAGAACTTTCGATGGCGTTTGTAAAAAGGAGTTTGTCTACCATAACTGAAATAAGGGATCAATTCATTGAAAATGATCCGAATTTTGACAGGAGCTCAAAAGTAAGGCGTGGTGTTAGAGATGCTCTATCCGTTTATGAAGAACTTTTAAGAGAACAACGCAAAAGAAAAAGGCAAACAACGTTA